GGGGATGCATGCATGATGCATGAATGCACATTTGACATTGTTAAAGACAAATTAAATACTAAACTAGAGTGTGAATGTGTGTGTTAATTTTCTAAACGTCCACAAGGCCAAAAGTGCCTATAGTTGAAGAAACACCAATAAATGAATGAAAGTGCCGTAGGGTCATCCTGGGTTAATAAAGTGTCTGATTCTTGAACTTGAGAAATGTTTTGCTTGAAAAGTGTGCTGCTTGTGAAAAAAATATATAATAAATAAATGCTGCCTGGTTTAGTTTATCTAATGCAATGACATTTTGACATTTTTTCATCTGACTGAAACATCCAAACACTTTAGTGCAACTGTGCGTTTTAGAGTATAGTAATGCAGCGCAAAGGAATCCAGGTCAATAGAGTCGTGTTATCAATGTATATAATTGATTTGCCGAATAGGGCGCCTGCCTTTGCCATCTGTTTGGGCTGAATTACTCGGAGATTCTCTAGGAAACAGCATTCTGAAGTTCAGAGTCAGCAGCTGCTAATGAATGCTGAGTTAAGACATGCTCAGCTCGATGGAATCACGGCGCTCCGGTGAATGCACGGATTTAACTTTTCCACAGAACACATTTCTAGAGCAGGGAGCAGTTATATGATTATTAGTCCTGCATGTCATAGATAAGTCTGATCAAAGATAAATCCTATTGTACTGTATGATTAATCACAAAGAGTAAAGAGTGATCTAAGGTACAGTATCACACTTTTAATCACAGATTGGATTCAAAAACGAGGCCTACAGTACAATTATGTTTTCAAAATAAGTTTTTTTTTGTTTTATGCTCATCAAGGCTGCATTTATTTGAACAATAATACAGTAATATTGTGGAGAAAAACAAATCTAAACTGTATATTTCTGTGACGCAAAGCTGGATTTTCAGCATCATTACGCCAATCTTCAGTGTCGCATGATCCTTCAGAAATCATTTTAATATACTGATTTGCTGCTAAAAAATTAATTTTTTGATCAATGCTAAAAAAACAGTTGTGGTGCTTCTTTCTTTCTTTCTTTCTTTCTTTCTTTCTTTCTTT